TCTGAATGCTTTATTGGTAAATATGATTCAGTGGGACTGAGCTACCATAACAGACTGATAAGTTTCTAAACCGCACGATGTAGTCTATGAATACTAATCACATACCAAGAAATGCATATTTGATTCAACCAGATATGTTGTACTATTTTACCGTCATTTATTAACAATAGAATAAACAGAACATTTACTGAAAAACTGAAATATTATTGGCCAATTAAACACAATTATCAATCTATTACGAAATTGTATGAGAGTAATGAGGGGTTTGATTTGTTTCTATGATAAATTCGTCGTGTAAATGAAACGTGAGCTGAGCTGCAAAGGAAGCACCGGACAGCTGTCTGGATTTGATTGGGTCTCATCAACAACAGTAAACGAATTCATCAACCCAACTGGGGATCGCGAGCCCGAGACCTCGTAATGCTGATGAAATCCAATCAGGTTGAGAAGCACTTTCCATAACTCCGGTTGGTGAACTCAATTTTCACCTATCAGCTGAGTTCACAAATCCGTATTCTTCTTCTTCAGCGTTACGTGATACTGCCCAACTGTGCACACACCCGATTCCCTCCAGTGGTTCATTGTTCTATGGAACTACGGTCCACATGATGACAACAAAAAAGGTATTCATTCGTGATTTTTGTTCCCGTGAGCTTAGAATTTCACGTGCCATAGTTTCAACTGCTGGTTCCCATGCTTGATCTGTTTGTTTCTCTGACTATGGAGTTCACCCGTTCTGGTTTTCATCATACAAATAGTGTATATGCAATATTGAATGTTGTGCATTCGAGTCCCTCCCACTGATATTGAAAGCAGTTGAGAATCCTTACCACTGACTTAAACTAAACCGTTTCATACAGTGCTTTGACAACGAAGTTCATCGCATTTAGCGGGCTTCTAATTTCACAAACCAGTCATGCTCCAACATAGGCCCTGAAATTCCTCAAATCCAAAAACATAGCATACGTCTGTATGTTGATTTGTACCATATAATAGTATTATCAACAGTGTTACGTTGCATACCGGTTCATTCTCCCGATCGAATTGTTCACGACTGAAAATAACGCTCATGCCAACTCATAAACGGATCTGCACAACACATGGTGAACCAATCCTCACTCAAAACTGTTCAACTAAGCAGCTCATACGGCAGTTTCAAGTATTCTCCCACAGTTATTCTGTCCATCGCGGAACAATCTGATAGATAGTTGCGGAACAAACTGTTAACCAGCCATTATGCCTCACCTTTTGGTTCCTGATCACCTTATCTCCATAACTAAATTAATCTTTGGAAGAAAAGTTTCGTCAAATGTTGCCTTGTCATACATACCCTGGGATGTATTTCTGAGTCATACATGCATGTCCTTTCGAATTGAGCAAAAGTTGTGCTTTAGTTATGTTTGTGGATGAAAAACACAAACAAACAACTGTGCACTAATTAATGACAGTCGGGCACAACTCACTGGCTCCACTGATGATGATGATGATCATCATCATCATCATCATCGTACAGCGAAATACAGTAAAGCGAACTTCATTGACCGCTGCCAAACTCACAATGCATACAAGGTTGGTGGTACAATTTAAGTTGGACAGGGGTTGGATTTATTTTGTGGAAGGGAGAAGAAGGCGAGCCACTATGGTCAACACACAGAGTACGCAATCGAACTGTGCATACATACCTTTTCAAGCATTCTGACCTGATAAGAAACGACAACAGGAACGATACTGCTGCCGGTTCGCTACCATATCCTTCAACGTTTTCAACCAACCGGTTGTGGAGCTTTTCGGACCCTGGAAGGCGCGAGTCATCTACTCTACCCAATGGCTCTGTGCATTTCGTCATGCCTCGTCTCCACGTCATCTGTTGACCTACACGTAGTTTCCTCCAGCCCGGATTAGCTACAGCGAATAAAGCGCGGAGCGGCAGACGATGGCTGAGCATACGCAATACGTGCCCTAGCCACTGAAGCCTAGTAATCTGAATTCGGTATGCTTGCAGGTTTATGCCTGACAGACTCCCAAACACACGACGGCTTACCTCCACGTTACTAACCCGTTCGCTCCATCCAACATGGGCTAAACTGCGTAAACACCGATAATCGAAAACTTCTAGTCGACGGATATCTTCTACCAGCAAATTCAGGGTCTCATAACCATAAAGCAGGACTAAACAAACGCTAGCACAATATACACGACCTTTCAGATTCACTGGAACGTCGCGTCTACGTCAAAGGTGTTTCAGTCCTGCGTATACTACTCGAGCCTTGGAAATGCGGGCGGTTATCTCTTTTGCTGCGTTACCGTCATTGGTCATGCAACTACCTAAGTAGGGAAAGTGACCCGCCACAACTAGATCCTAGCCGTTTAGTGTCAGAGTGGGAGTAGACGAAACCCAGTCCTGCAGCAGCACTTGGCACTTTGAAGGTGCAAAGCACATACTGAATGTTGCCACTGCACTTGTTAATCTATCAAGTGCACTTTGCGCGTCCTCCTACATTCGAACAGACAGACAATATCATCGGATATCATTGGACGATATGATCGGACCCGATTCAGCACCGAAGCACACAGACACGACTCAGTTGATCCGCAGGCTGGTCCTCATTTGATAGCATGAAATTCTTTACTGCTAATGCGGGTTACCCATTATTCATTTTTCATTTGTATATACAATAGAAATCAATTTTACACACGGTCTAATTTTACTCATCCGTTTATCCCACCTGATATGCTTAAAAGTGTCCTTTACTCCCCCTGGATTTCGTCATCCCTGATAGTTGAAGTGCGAAAATCGATCTTCCACTCTGACCGTATACAGCCTACTTACAATATGTGAATCAGGAAAGCGAATGATGTAATAATCACAAAAATGTGGCCAGATTGCAGGATCTTCTTCTACTGACAAACATGATTTGTTCTCACGATCCGAGCTGAGTAGCTCTGCGTATCGATTCCATATATTGATTGTTACTTGTGACGAGAAATAGCAATATATCAGAGCTTGACACGTTCAAGCACACACACACATACACACCACACACGCGTGAGGGAAGAGGGTGTAGTTTGTGAATAGCTGTCGAACAACTAAAGGTCATCGCGGACCGAACGCATACACACACACACACACACTACTAATACTACTATTCACAGTAATCTGAGTGATAGCGTACATTTGTACTGGTGTATGATGTGTGCTATGTGTGTACACCACAGGGAGTATTATTGGTCAAGCCACTCGAAGATGAATGTCACCTTGTCCTATGCGGTCCGTGGGGTGGAGTGAGCGGGGTGGGGGGGGGGGAGATACCCACGGACCAAAGATTGTGTCCAAATCATTCCTCCGTATGCACATATTAACAATGGCACATTACTGACCACATTTGAGAAAAAAACTGCGATTAAATCCCTTCAAACAGAAATCACGAAACAGATTTGTTTCTGCATGCATCGTTCCCGTGTAGACAGGCAACGAACGAAAATGCATTCGCGGCTGCCACAAACACGGAATTGATTTCCGCGTGCTAGAACGGCAACCTCAATAACATATCAGGAGCAAATTGAGCCTTTGGTTTCAATCAGTTAACAAAATGAACCAAAAAGTTAATTTTAAAACACACGATGGCAATTGCGGTTTCGGAATCTACGCAGATTAACTAATGATTGTTAGCGGTAAGTGCATGAAGCACTTGTTTTTAGTCTTTTCTGTGTACCTGTCAATCAATCGATCCCCCCAATGAAGTGGTGAATGTTTGGATTCACCTACTCGGTTTTTCACAGGCACCGGACACTGTTGATGATGTTCGATGTGGGTTTCACACTCCGTGGGAGATCGTTAATTTCCCAACTATTCGGTTATCACAAACATTTCCACCGCATTTAAGAAATGCATTCAAATACTGAAGAATTGCCAATCTCCCAATGAGTGAAAACCACACACCGAACATTATCAACAGTGCCTAGTGCCTGTAAAAAATCGAATGGGCTAATCCAAACATTCACCATCTAAATTGATTGAACCGTTCGCACAAGGTGATGATGACCGTCGACCGTTCGAGTCCTGACAAGGACACAAAATGTACGCACTACTGACGAGTCCCAAACAGGACGAAACAACTATGCAGTGCTCTTTGTCGATCATCACAAACATTTTCATCACATTTAAATACCTAAATCACTCATGTACCGATTTGACGATGGCTTAAACACATTGACAGCATATTTGAAGAGGATACTACTCCATATTTTATATGCATTACACAATTTTAGTCATAACTGAAATCCAACGCTCCTCACTACTCACGCGTGCTTCCACTAGGCTGTAAAAGAATGTTGTGGCGATCAAACTAGAGATTTGAACAGGCTAGATTCTGCCTTTCCCTTCGATTGGTACAGCCCCCCTTCCAGGTTGGGCTCCAAGCGATGAAGGTTGTCGTTGGTTAGAGACGCTAGGTCGCATGACTCATCATAGAACTTGATGATGCGAATTCTGTATGGTATGCCCGTTGAAATCCCATGCCCCGTAAAAATCGACATACTAACGCCAAAAAATTTTGAAAAAAAGTTCAAGATGAAACAAAAAAATTTGTTGTTGTTATTGTTGTTGTTATCTAATAGTTTCCATTTTAACTGTTTCGCCTTCTCTTTCATTCTGTTCTGTATCCTAATCCAAGCTAGTGATATATATATATATATATGTAATGAATTGGTTCAAATAATTAATTTGAAAAGCACCCTTATATATATATATCACAGTAACAAGAACCGCGAAACCGGTCGTGTGCTTCCAGGGAAATTGTGTCCGGTCATTCACATAGTACTTATTATGAAATAGATATATATATCTGCTACTAAGGGTGCTTTTCAAATTAATTATTCGAACCAATTCATTACATTTATGCTCGTTTGAAAATCCTCAGGGCATAGTGAAAGAAATTCGGACGTTTTAGCCAGTACCTCAGTACCCAACGGATGTAAGTGCTTAACCGGACAACTATTTGTTAAATAATATAGCATACGACGATACTAAATAAACAATACACTTCAAGAATCAAACACTTTTTTTTGCTATACACACATACAATTCTATGCTTAATCCTGTGCAAAAGAAAACTCGAAAACTTACCGGTGTGTGTACGTTTGTGAATTTTCAAATTCTCGCTTCGAGCAAATACTTTGGCACAACCAGGAAACGGACAAGGGAATGGTTTTTCTCCCGTATGTACTCGAATGTGATTGACCAGTTTATATTTCGCCTTGAACGGTCTACCTTCCCGTGTACAATCTCTCCAGTAACAAGTATGATCCAACTGTTCGGGTCCGCCCACATGTTCCAATGTGATATGGTTCACTATTTCACTTACTGAATCGAACACTTTGTTGCACGGTTTTCGGGGAGCATTTGGGACTAACGGGATCGGATCGATCCATTGACAGTAAATTAATTCACCGCCACCACCACCAGGGCCTGTACTAGCCCCACCACCGTTATTGTTCACTGATCGATTCAGTGCCAGAATATCATCGTGCATTGGAATTTGAGTGGTGGTTACAGATCCACCGGACGTTGGATGACCACGTGAGACTAGACGACTAGTTGGATCATGTGTAAACATGGATGACATATCCTCGGTCGAATTGTACACTGAGGAACCGCATCCGGGATAGACGGAATTTAGACAAGCCACTCGGTTTTGACCTTGAT